GTGGGTAAGTAAGGTGGGAGATGAGAAATTGAAAAAAAAAATAATAATAAAAAAAAAAAAGTTAAAAAAATCAAATAAATTAATTAACTTGTTAACAAGTTGTAGGTTAAAAGGCTCATTTTGAGCAGATAAGGGTCAAATGTAGAACTATTTTAGGAATTAAAAAAGGTTGGGATTGTTTTGGCAGAAAAGGCAAAGGTAGGATTATTAGTTTCCAATTTTCGTTAAAGATTTTGAAATTGAATAAAACTCCTTTTTTAAAAAATCCTAATTATATTCGAATTGAATGACGTTCAAAGATAGTCAGATATGATTTTTGTGCCTCATAGTTTTTATCCAATTCTTAGATGGTTGGATATCTCTTGAAATTATCTTTTTAATGATATATTAGAATATTAATTCCGAGCTAAACGAAAAAGATATAAAAGAAATACAAAACTTTATCGAAAACTGACACCGTCCTACTATTTCGGCCATATCTTTTATTCTACAAACGATTTTAATCTGATTCAAATTAGGTTAGAAATTAGAATTCAATATCTTTCCAACGACATATTATTTATCTCATTCCAATTTCTGGATCAAAATATATGATAAAAAAAATTTGCAAAAACTGTTGTTTATTTCAAGAGTTTTATTATGATTCGAATTTAGATCTTTTCTTGATTCTTCGACCCTTCTTTTTTCTTTAAAAATAGAGGACATATCATCATCAACAAGCTTGAACACCAAAAATCATTCTCTCTTCCTCTCTTATACACCAAAAAACCATTCTCTCTTCTCTCTCATATTCTAAGCCTTAAACCTATTCTTCTAATTACACAATACTTTCCCTAAGCACTCTAAGGAGTCCATACTTGACCTGAGGTTCCGTCCATAAACCAAGGCGTGAAAGGTAGAATTAATTGATGGTTTGGACCAAATCAACTCTACATTTATTTAATTTATTTCAATTTGATTTATTTTTATTGAAGTTACTAACAATTTATTCATGATTTAGCAATTTAAAGGAACGCACGGAATGTGAGTAATTAATTAATTTAATTACTTATTTTATTTTATATTGCTTGTATCAAGATTAGGGTTATTATTATGATTTCATTTGACTCACGATATTATTGTAAATTGCTTCCAATGTTGATGTTTACTCTATTGTTTATTGTTGATCACTATATTGCATATTTAAAGGGAATATGTAATGGAAAATCACGACTAATAAGATAATTTGGACGACCAGTTTAGGTTCATTTTTAATCTTGTTGTTTAATCGAAGTGATCACAATACTTTAGAATTATATGTTGCATTAACATTCAACCAATTTAGCACAATTATAGTTTGGAGAAAATTGAATCTTTGTTTGCATGTCATTGAGCGAGATCGAAGGGAACATTTTTCACAATAAGAATCGAGTAGACGCCAATACGGGCGAATGTGACTCGATGACTCACTTCGTACAATCATCCTCGGTCCTCCTTTTCGCGGTTCCAAACCATATGGAGTTATTAATCTCATGGATTATGAATGGGGAGTAACCTTCACGTGTCAAATGTTGTTGCCTTTCATTGTCCCTTATTCGTGGTTCCTTAAATGATTCGTGAGCGGTTTACAAGTTCCTTAAAAACTTGTTGGCGACTCCGTACTGTCCGTGTCCCTAATTGTATATGTCAATTCCCACTTCTTATGAGTGCTAAGCATATTCACTTATGCTTACGTAGGCGCGTTTCGAACGATGCCTACAAGAAGGCATTTTATTTTTTTAAGTTTAATATACACATGTCAGCATGTGTTTGGTCAAAAAATAAATGAAATAAGATAAAAAAAAAATAAAAAAAAAGCCCCAAAACTACCAAGGATAAAAATTAAATAATAAAAAAAAAAACCAAAACCCAAAACCCGTCATTAGAGATCCATTTCCTTTATGTCCTTGCCCTTTTAAAAGTCTAGGACTTTACACTTTTTAGGGTGTGTAAGGATTTGAATTCATCACTTTTTGGAGGACCTTGAATTAGAATTGAGTCTTCATTACCATTTTTTATTAGAAACCAATAAAGAGGCGCCAATGAGCTTTACGAAAACTCATAAACCTAGTTCATGCCTTTCTCCCAAGTGGAGTTCAAGGAATAATTAGCACGAATCATAAGTTTACCAATACCCAAATTGGTCTACTAGTACAAGATTTTAGTTCGGGAGCGAGGGCAATGACGGAGCTAGGAATTTCCGACGGGGGGGACAAATGAACCTCGCTTAGTTTGACAAAAACATTAGAGCAAATTAAATAATAGTTAAAGTTTTACAGCTCAAAATTATTAAATTCGGAGTACGTAGTAAAAAAAATCAACATCATATGACAAAGTTTCCTCCATAAACGAATTTGACTAAGGGTTCGTAATTTTTTGAAAATTTTGAACAATAAATAATATAACTATTTAAATGTAAAACTTGTCATAATTACTCCGTACGTATTACACTCATAATTTGAGTTAAGGTTCATGAAAAACTACAATTACAATGATTCAAGTACGTATATGAAGTAATTATTAAGAAATAACTTGAACTAATACTATCTCACACTTTTAAACTACAATTACAATTATTCAAATAAGTATAGGATTACGGAGTAATTGTTAAGAAATAAATTATAGTAATATAAACTATAAGAAGTAATATAAATGAAATAGTTACCTAAAAAAACATATTTGTATAAACTAACCAAAAAAAAATGCCAATGAGAAGAATCAAACCCCCAGTCCCTAGATCACATTGATCTATCAAATACACTTTTGACCGCTGCGCCAAGTACTTTAGTCCATTGCATTATTCAAAAAATATTGTATATATACTATACTATGTTTGGGAAGTGCGGGGACAGCTGTCCCCCCTTGTCCCACGCTGGCTTCGCAAGTGATTACAATGAATGTAGGTATTTATTATTTAATTGAAATTCGTAAAAAGCAAGGACAAAATAAACAAGATTTGCCTTGGCTTAAGTGATAAAACAATCAATTAATTTATTCAAATCTAGTCTTATTTAACAAAATAATACTATATTGAATCGAATAATTAAAATTAAAGTTTATTTTAAATTGGTCAAACAAAACTTATTAGTATATTCAAGTGATTTAAGACGAGAAAGGACATGTGATTGAACTAAGTGCTCGGGAATTACCACTTTTCATTGTTAGATCTTCGTTTAGAATGCAAATGTACCCCGTTTTGTTCGGGAACCTCCATCATAAGAACAAAGTAATAAATGGATGCGTATTTAGGACAAGAGGGTTTGATTATTGCATAAATTCACTAAGTATTACAAATAACTTTCTGGCTATTTTTCTATGTGTTAAAAGCTCATTTGAACCTCTATATTTAGGGAATGGTTGAGATTAGGGTTTCGGAGAATTTGCGGCAGCAGGGGCGCTTTAGAAGTTGCGCATGGGCGATGCACATAAGTATAGGAGTTGCGTTGCTCTTGGTAGTGTGACTTATGGTCTTGCGCATGGTTGTATGGTAAGATTTGATTTGGTATTTTTCTGAAATTCCGAATCTTTGTAAGCGCAACACTGGGAGTTGCGTTGGGCTACTGAGCGCAATGATGTAAGTTATGCCGGCTCCCGAGCTCAACTTCTTGAGTTGCGCACTGATTTTCTTATGGCAGCCCTAGATTTTAACCTTGGTGCTCTAAATTCGTCTGAAATTAGGTTTTATTCATGGATGTGGCCTAACTTTTGATCGAGCTTAGTCTATTAATCTTTAGTCCATTTCGTTTGGGTCGAGTTAGTCTATATTATGTGTTTAGGCTTTGATCAGTAGTCCATTGGGATTCTTTACTCCAATCAAGTACAAAGATGGAATTATTTATCGTCATACCACTTTCGGTCGGGAAAGAGGATCAAAAGTAGAAGTCTTCACCAGCCCCTACCACGATGCCACCGCGGCCAACTCGCTACTAGCCTCGCCCAACCCCTTCCCTTCGAGCGTCGGACGCCGCCCAGACCTCCTTCCCCTCCCCCGGTGTTAGAGTGCCCCGATGCCACCCTCTTTTTCCCCTTCAATCACCAAAAAATCCAGCAAAATCCCCCGAATGCCAACCCCCAAATCTCAAACCCTAACCCTCACATCCGATCCCTATCAACGCTGATGGTAAAGGGAGGAGAGAGAAGGAAAAGGAGCAGAAGGCTAGAGCGATGGTGAGGAAAGGTGCAGCTGGATCTTTTCGGCGGTCGTGGAGGTTGTTTATGGGTTTTTAGATGGAACGGAGAGGTTTTACGGGAGGGTTTTAAGGGAAAAGGGAGGGCGGTCGGGGCAGCGCCGGCACAAAGGGAGGGGAGGAGGTCTAGGCGGCGGCTGACATTCGGGGTGGAAGGGGTTTGGCAGGGTTGGCCGTAGTGGCATCGTAGCAGGGCTAGTCTTGGTCGTTTTTGTTTTTATTTTTATTTTTTTAAGTTATTCATATGCTAACATGTGTCTTGTAACCTATAATATTAGGTTGGATGACCAATTGGGAGTGCTATTGGCAGACGTGGTATAAAATTCAGATTAATTAAAAATAATGCAAAGTTATGATTAATATTAGTGGATGATGCAAAGTTGAGATTAATCATGATAATTTTTCCTTTTTATTTTTGTCTTTTGTTTATTCTCGTCGGGCTTTTGTGTTGTAACATTTAATATTAGGTTGCATGACCGATTGAGAGTGTTATTGGCAGACGGGGTATAAAATTCAGATTAATTAAAAATAATGCAAAATTATGATTAATATTGACGAATAATGCAAAGTTAAGATTAATCATGACAAAAAAAAAAAAAAAAAAAAAGGGGTATCTAACAAAATTGGGAAGTTGGCAAAAATAATATTACAAGTAGCATAGCTATAATCGTCGTGCTCTTAACTAAGAGCCAAATACTTCGTAGTTATCACCGACAACGTCCTATAAACGTAAATAAAAAAGAACGTCCTCAGTCTTCTCACACGTATTTCACAGTCAACAAACAGCTTGAAATGCAAAACAGATGCTGGAATTTATATCGTACAACAATAATCAATGGTATGATTACTTGATTAGTTTCAATCATGTAACCAACAATTCAGCCAATCACCAAGAGTTTGATTCAAACTAACAAAGTTATTAACTTACAATAATGCGACATTATTATAGCTTAAACAGTACTACCAGTCTACAACTAACAAGAACATTACAGATGATTTAACAAATTTAACCCCATATTTTTTACATTTCATAGTTAAACTTTCCTCAACCAATTAGTAATTATATCAGTCCGGAATTATTAGTTATGTTGATATGCACTGCGACAACAAAACCCGACAAGGTACTAAACCATGATCACATCTCACAAGCACAAATTTGTGAGTTTGAATTATTGATAAAATCAGCCACCCTTTTAAGCAGATCTTTAGCTTCATCACAATCAGGTTTATACAGATGAAAAACATGACCTCTTCCTTTACTTTCCATAAACTCTAATTCACCTTCCCATTCACCATTTTCTTGACCTTCCCTGAAAACTTCATAGTATTTCACTCCTCTTTCTCTTAAGAAATCTTTCCCACCGACACAAACCAACACCTTCTTACATCCAACAATCTCTCTTCTCATTTTCTCCGGGTCAGCCGCAGGGTTCAACCTCGGGTCTAAAACCCCGGTCGTATCGGGGTAAAGATAATCCCATAACCCATTGGGTTCGCTGTCTCCGAAGAACGGATGGACCATTGCGATCCCTGCAAAACAAGACTCAGACCTAGACCCAGACCCATCAGACTCAGACTGAATCCGAGTTACAATGTCATGGACAATGTTAGCTCCAGCACTATCCCCAGCAAGAAAGACCTGATCAAAATCAGCCCGGTCATTGAGCCAGGGCTCGGGCCCTGACCCGGTTGAATGAGATAATACCCACTTTGTCGCGGCCAAAGAATCGTCATAGCAAACAGGCATCGGGTACTCCGGAGCGAGGCGGTAATCGACAGAGATGGCGATACAGTGAGCTTGTGATACGAGGGAGTTGAGGTAGCTGTGGTAGATTGAAGACGAAGCAGAGTAGAGGCAAAAGGCGCCGCCATGGATGTAAATAAGGATCGGAAGTTTAGAGTTTGGAGGGTCAACTTTGATGGGTCGGAAAATACGGGCTGATAAGCCCGGTGAGATGGTTACGTCCTTGGAATTGACTAAGGTGGCTGAATCAAAGGATGGTGGAACAGTGTCAGTTTTGAGAAGACGTTCGATTCGGCCATCTTTGTAGACTCGAAGACGAGGGGAGAAATCATGGAGGATTTCTGATGACATTTGGACTTCCATTTTTCTTTGGTTTTTTGTATGGAGGTTAGAAAATGCAATGGTGAGAAAGGGAAGGGGTGGGGAAAGAGGGGAATATAATGGTGGCGGTTGGGTTGTAGCGTTGGGAGTTGGGGAGAGTATAAAGGGAGGGGGAAAGTAGGGGTGTGTATTTATGTAGAAAATTGGAAGGTTCTATTTTTTTGTAGTTAACGATAAAACTAGTTTTGTGGCTGCTAAAAATTGAGAAAACGATTTAAGGAATTTTTTTAATTTGTAGAATTTAAAAATTAGGATAATGATCCTTCTTATATATAATCCTTACGGATGCATATGCGGAGCTAAAAAGGAAAAAAGAAAAACATAATAATATATATATATATATATATATATATATATATATATATATATATATATATATATATATATATATATATATATATATATATATATAATGTAGGAAATTATGACTGTTACTAAAAAAAAAAAATCAAAAAATTGTTTTTTATTACCAAAACTTCTAAAACTTATGTTTTACTACAAAAAAAAATTCTAAAAATTGTTTTTTTACCACCTAACGTCAACAAAACCGTTGAACCTAACGGTTTAATTTTATTTTTTTTCGAATTTCTTGTAATAAACATGTTTTTCTTAGGTTTATGGGACATTATGGCCCTTTGGGTCCAATTTGAGGTTGAAATTAATAGAAAATGATCGAAAATGACTCATACTGCGTGTTTCACGAGGTATTTAAAACACACAAAACGAGGCATTTGCGATCATTTTTTGTTAATTCTGACTTCATGTTGGTTCCTTTGGTTCAAAATGTCCCCCCAAAACCCCTAAAGATCATGTGTTTGACAAGAAAATCGAAATTTTTTAAAAATTTCGCTAGGTTTTTTATGACAGGTGGTAAAAAATATTTTTTTATTTGGTGGTAAAATAAAAGTTTTAGAATTTTTGGTGGTAAAAAAACAATTTTTTTGATTTTTTGGTGGTAAAAGTCAAAACTTTCTATTAATTACATTAAATTATGCGTGAGTTTATCATGCATCCATAACTTTATTTATTTATTTATTCATTTAAACGGGATCATGCATTAATAATTAATACCAAACTAGGATACATATTTAACGTTTATTAGTACTCCCTCCGTCCTCAATTGATAATCATTTTTGCCATTTTCGGCGACTCAAAATGTTAGTCACATTTGCTATTTTCAAGTACCATTAATATTATTTTTTTTTAACCAAAATTCTCTAACATTTGCAAAAATATTTGTGCAAATTTAACTTTCCCATGTAAATTTTACTTTCCCATGTATTTTAATTACTTTCTCTCTCTATTTTATTTTTTGCATACCCAATGTAAATTTACTTTTTCAATGTACTTTCTTTATTTCTCCTTAATTCCCGTATTTTTTTTAGCAAAAGTGACTATCAATCGGGGACGGAGGGAGTAGTTCTTAAGGCTACCTATATCATTACGCTTAGAACTGCATAAAATATTGTTCGATTTCAAAACTAAAGTGTAGACACCTAAAAATGTCTCCCCAAAACCAAACCTGATGATGAACAACCTTTCACCGCCATTATTGATTGGGTTGAGTATTTAATCCCGGGAGTGCTTAAAATTCATATTCGATCAAACTCAGTTCATAAAATTAGTCCTAATGTTTGGTAAAAGCATAGTCAAATTTATATTAGGCCCAAACTTTTTTTTATTCTTTTCATATTATTTATTATTTTAGCCCAATTAATAAATAATAAACCTAAATAGCCCGAAATTATGAAACGACACTTAAAAATGCTAAGCGTAATTAGAGTTAAAATGTATTTGGACGTAAAAATGGAGGCAGGGTCCACCGTGTCAAGGGCAACCTGTGCCGCGCCACGGCATGATGCACATGCCATGACACGAGATTTTTTCGTTTTTTCTCCGCGTAATGCCTAAACGCATTTTATCTTCTGTAGGTTTGTTTTTGTCATGCGTCACACGAAAGTACCCCGCGTCACACTAAAGTATATCGTGTCACGACATATTTTGCCGTGTTGCGACATGCTGCTGACGTGTCGCGGCATTGTTTTTTAGGGTTTTTATCTTTTTAGGGTTCACTATGTTCCCTCTGCTCATTTAAATACCCCCTCATTTCTGTTGTTCAGAGCATCAATTAACATTCTCTTCTCTCTTCTTTGATCTAGCCTAAACACTAGCCTACCTTATTCTCTTAAAATACCTTCCTTAAGCACTCCAAGGAGTCCGTACTTTACTTGAGATTCTGTCATTAAACCAAGGCATGAAAGGTAGAACTGTTTGAGGGTTTGGCCCCAAATATTTAAGAATTATATGTGTGCATTATATTCAACCAATTTAGCATAATAATAGTTAGGAGCAAATTGAATATTTTGTTTGCATGCCTTTGAGATTGCAGAAATTACTTTTCACTAAAAAAATTGAGTAGAGGCCAATACGGGCGAATGTGACTCCATGACTCACTTCGTACCATTATCCCCGATCCTCCTTTCGTGGTTCCGAACCATATGGAGTTAGTAATCTCATGGATTATGAATGAGGTGTAACCTTCACGGGTCAATCATTGTTGCCTTCATTGTCCCTTATTCGAGGTTGCCTTAAATGATCCGTGAACAGTTTACAAGTTCCTTAAAACTTGTTGGCGGCTCCTTACTTTCCTTTTCCCTAATCGTATATGTAAATTCCCACTCCCTATGAGTGCCAAGCATATTCACAACATGGTTAACATAGGTGCACTTTGAAAGACGCCTACAATTTGGCGACTTCACTGGGGAGGATTCTTGGTTATTTATCAATTTGAGTGATAATTAATTAATTAAGATGAGTGGATGAGACTTGACAGATTGTTGAAAAGTATTCTTGTGATTAATTTGGCATTTTTTGCATATGCACAAACTTTTTAACGTCGCATTCAGTCCTGTCTCGTAGGAAAAATCTGAATAACCTGATTGCGAATGAAGATAAAAAGGCACAAGTCATATTTCCTGACTGTCGTGTCACGATGCCGGGCACCGCTACGCGGTGTTCAACACCGTGACACGGTACATTATGCCGTGTCTCGGTAGTTCCAAAATCTTTCCAGTTGCTTTATTTCTCTTCTCACAGTCAGCTTCCTTTGGTTTTTCTGAAAAAACGTGTGTTTTCTACATACGTCTTAGCCCCGGGGATTTAAGCTCTATCAACCCAAAAACGTTCATGGTAATAAGGGTTCATCCGAGTTATTAAATCCTTCCAAACCATGGAGTCGAGTTCGATTTCATCATGAACTTGCGGAGCCACCCGTTAGCATACATCCTCAAGGGAGGCTCCCTTGCTAACACGTCCAAACTTTTAACCATGGTACCCTTTGACACCCAAAGCTTGACCATAGTTGAACATAGATCTTGACCTTAGGTTGCGAACTTTTATTTATATCATCATGAGTAAGTGCTACGTGGATTATATTGGTGTTAACCCTACATGTGTTTTTCATTTTGGACTAACCTATGACCGAGGGTTTTTATTTCCATATAGTAATTAGTGCGGACTTAAAGCTGAAAAAAATCTGGAAAAATCACACAACTGGACCTGGAACTGTGCACGTGTCACGGCAGCTCTGCCGCGCCACGGTGTGCAGTGCCATGACACGACGTTTTGTATCTTCTGACGGTATAAAGCACCGTGTCACGACAGTCAGCACTGTGACACGGTGCCCAGGAAAAGTGTCCTGTCGGTTTATTTTTGGTTTTTGTGCGTGCTTATATGGTTCGTATGTCCGGTTTGATGTCATGTTTAACTGTACAGTCATTATACGCGTCCATAACCTCACTTAATCACTCACAAGTCATGTCGAGTTCACACACTTTTCCTTGAGCCGTGCACCATTTTGTTTATAATCGTACTTTAGGATGGTCTTGTGTCGTTTTTTCCTTTTTTTAGGAGTATGTCGGATGGTATCCTCCCATACATACCTTTTATTTTTCTTAAAAAAAATGTTTTTCGAAAAAATTTCTTGTCTTTTCTTTTCCGGATGGGTTAAGGTTAAGTCTAGTCATTAAAGGTGTGTTTGTTTCAATGTCACAGCACTTAATCAAAAAGCAGGGGTAGATTGTTACAGTTCAAGTCACTACCTCAAAAACCTCTTTTACCTAAGAGGCGTTCAAGAAAACCACCACAATCATCTCTGCAAAGTCTGTCTCCAGTTTACTTTCAACCAATGGCTTCTAAGGAGGATATTGAGAACATTAACAAGTCCATCGAGACACTGTCTACTATGATGCAAGCGATCACTACCAAAAATCACTACAATAGAGCAAAACAATGTTAATATATATGGCTGCAATGGACAAGATCAAAGAGCAAATGAGTAAGATCACTGAAGAAATCACCTATGTGGAGCAACCTGCCACCTCTTTGTCCATAAGGGACACACTTCCTGAGAATTTTTCCACTGCTGACATTCCCAAGTTTAAGCCTACTTGTAGGAATTTCAAGCATGGTGGCGTCCAAAGGGAAGGAAGTTAGAGTAAAAGAGTCGCCAACAAATTTTAGGAACTTGTAAATTATTCATAGGATGAAGGTTACACCCCTTCACGATCCATGAGATCGCTAACTTCATAATGGTCTAGAACCATGACTGGATATTCGGGGATGAAGGTACAAATCCAACCTAAAAGAGATTGAACTTGCCCTAAAAATAGGCATCTACTTTATTATTCTCATATTCATGTGCGCTTTTTTACTAACATACAATCAATAGGTTAACCCAAATCTGTTTATCTATGTTGGTTGAACATTAATGCACAAACAAATCTATTATTAGCGATCACTTGAATTATAATCATATTGGCCTAAATAAGATTATTAATTATCTTATTAAGCGTGATTACAAGTGCAAATTCCCTTTAAACATGCATAAAAGGCGTAATCAAGCAATAACAATAATAAATAATATCAAGCAACAATCATCATCAAAATAATAATATTCTCAATCTCAAAGCATAAGACTATTAGCAAGATCCTAGACATGATACTAACAAGATTAATAACAAATCCTAGCATGTCACTAAACATTAAAGATCAAAACTTTAGTCCTAACATGATACTAACATGATATTAGGAATGAATAAGAAGCATCATAGAAACATACATGATATTAGAAATTTTAGTTATTACCTTAAACATGATACTAGGAATCAAAACATCCTAACATGACCAAACCCTCAGAAATTATAAACCTTTCACG